ACACACACACACACACACACACACACACACACACACACACACACACACACACACGTTGCATTCAGTTAATCTCAGAACTTGTACATTGTAATTGCTATAAATGTGATTAAGTTCAGTTCAGTGCTGTAAGGTTTTGATGGTTTCAGACAGTCACACACACACACACACACATACGCACGCACGCACGCACGCACACACACATACAGTACATGTTGAGTAGCACCATGTTAATCAAATGACTGTAAATATGACACATTCTCAACCTAGTCTTTTATGAATGCATTCAGTTCAAGAAATCGGCTAAATTGAACATAAAAAAAGAAAGAAATTAAGAAAATAAAAAAAATTCCCAGTTGGTCTTTGCACAGTGGGAAAGGGAGTCTACCAATGATGTTTGCCTCTTACTGGTCAACTGTGGACTACATACTGAATATTTAAATATGGAGAAATGTCCGTTTACATATTAATACTCTTTTTATATGATATATTTTAGTCATAAATATTGATTTTCAAATACTTTCAAAAATATTATTCAGGTTTATAAATGACAAAATACTGAAAATTTCTTTTTTTTTTCTTTTGATGATGATCAGGATGGTTTCTCTGTGCTTTGACCATTGTTTTTTAGTCTCATAAACCATTACATAGTAGTCTTTCAAAGTAGGCTAAATTCTATCAAGCTTGTTTGTATTTTTCAATATTTTTAGACTATTAGCATGCCCATCAAGACATTAGCACACAAAATAAACAAGGAAGAAATAAAGCATAGTCCATCACTTCACATGCGTCCCGATTTAAGGCCTGCCAGGAGTCTACATGATCGCTAGAAAAACAGAAAGAACGAAGGAAGGAAAATTATAGATGCAAGAAAAGAGAAATATTAAGGAGAGAAAGAAAGAAAGAAAAAACTAAAGAAACGGATTTCCACAACTCTTTGTTCCATGACTTTTCAAGTCATTTGTGATTATTGGATATGGATTTTTAAAATCATTTTATTGCACTCGCAAAAAACAATTTCTAGTTAATGAAATATTTTGTAGGACTCTAGAAAATATATTAATTACATCCGATTTGATCTTTTAATGAGCATTTTTCAAGCTTGAAAACTATTTTTCAATGATATTTTCAATTGTGGAAACCCAGCATGACAAATAAAAAAAAACGGAGAAATAAGAAAAAAAGTCAAACCTAAAAATTAAAGAGATTAATAAAAATAGGATAAAGAATTAAAACAGAATATTGATCAAGGCCTTTAACCTCAACACATTTCCTTATAGGAATCGTTACAATACCTCTGTGCAAATCCACATGACCAAATACATTGAAAATGCCTACCGAATTACGAAGCTAAATGAACTATATGCCTCAACAGTGATTTGGTCTTTTTTTTTTTAAGTCCCACAGCAACATTTTCCCACATCTTTAATACGTAATACTTTCATAACAATAAAAAATAAATACAATCTAATATGCTTAACATATAATCTAACATATAATCAGATTGTGCTCAATGAGTTGATACATCAATATGCAATATATATATATATATGTATATGAACTCACTTATATCTTTCTTTATATATTTATATAGTTACTGTATAGTTCTCTCTTTTCCACAATAAACTCTTTAACTGATTGACTTCCATCATCATAATGATATTCATGTGCAAAGATGAGAAAATGTGCAAAATTAATACCTGTAAACTGAGAAACTACCTCAGCCATACTTTACAAAGAACTGATTGGACAGCCAACATTCAAAACCCACTTGCAAAAAGAGCTTAAAAGAATAAACACGGGCATCATGAGTGCTTGCTTTCATACCTTTCCTCAGATGCAGACGGGTTGGACAAAATAATATGATGTTATCGGCATGGGAACCATGCTGGTCAGCAGCTGAGGCCGCCTGTCCATCATCTCCACATGTGGGCTGACTCAAAAACTCACTTCACTGTTTACGATCCCAACAAAAACTCTTCTTCCCTCCCCCGCAGAGTCTGAAGTACCCAGAGCTCAAATGTAAGGCAAGACCGTGACAGATATTAGCTCTGATCCAAAACCTAGTGAGCTACTGCACTGTCTACAAAGGCAGTGTCATGGAACCTAATAAGTGGCTCATTTTGAACTCACTATATAGGCAGCAACACAAACAGACTCGATTTTGCAATTGATTTAAATTGTTTAACATTTGCATGTTGCTAAGCTAAAGGCGTGATACTCTAATTAGTATAGAAATACTCAGAGATGTTGGGTGCAAATTTAAGATTTTATGTTATTGAATGAATTATTACTTTTTAATCGTCATTTCTCTTGCTCCGTCTAGAGTTTTACATTAGCATTTTGCTAAGCTAACGGTGTGATATTCTAATAGGCCTAAGTAAAATATACAGTACTCGCAAATCTTGGGTACAATAACGCAATTTAATGATTGCTATCGAATTAAATATAGCTACATTCAAATATCAAATATAATCAACATTTTTCTTGTCCCATCCAAATTTTTACATTAGCATGTTTCTAAGCTAATGAGATGAGATTCCAATAAGTACAAACCTAAATAAATCTCACACGTTGGGCAAAATAACATATTTTTGTGATTTTATGAACATTATCGATTTAAATATAAATTTATAATCAACATTTTTCTTGCCCCGTCCAGAGTTTGACATTAGCATGTTGTTAAATGAATGGCATGATACTCTAACAAGTATAAAAATACATAAAAATACATAGAACTCACAAATGTTGGGTAAAATAATACATTTAAAGTTTTTATGAACGTTACCGAATGAAATATTACTTTATAATTAACATTTTTCTTGCCCCATCCCGGGTTTGGCATTAGCATGTTGCTAAGCTAATGACGTGATACTCAAATAAGTATAAAAATACATAGAACTCACAAATGTTGGGTAAAATCATATATTTTAAGTTTTTATGAATATTACTGAATGAAATATTACTTTATAATCCAACATTTTTCTTGCTCTGTTCAGTGTTTGACCTCTTAGCATGTTGCTAAGCTAACAATGTGATACAATAAGTATAAAAATACATAAAGCTCACCAATGTTGGGCAAAATAATATATAGATAATATATAGTTTTAATGAATATTATCAAATGAAATATAACTTTTTGGTTAAAACATATTTAAGTATCTTGTAAGCGAACATAATTAAGTTGACTAACCTTTGGAACAGATTTCACATTGAGCAGCTCACTAGGTTTTGGAACAGAGCACATTTCCACTTGATAAGCCGTCTTGGATAAATGGGAGAACAGGAAAAGGAAAGAACGCCACTTCAGAGTTTTTGGGCAGGGCTGAATTGTGGTATCGTGGCGGAGCCCAGCAATGATGTTTAGCACCAGAGGAAGTCTAGAGACATGAAGATGACCCATTTGGAGGAAGCACTTTGAGAGACATGGAACTGAAGGGGAGGGATTTTCACATTAGCAACAGTCAGTACGAAGTCTTGAAGGTTCACAGCTCTCAGCATGCAAATTGAGAGTCTGAATATGGGGAAGCTTTGTCTATTTTTCTAAAGAGTCTGGACATGAGTATTTTTTTTCTTTGTGAATTATAGGAGAGAGTATTTAAGTTTATTTTCTGCATGTCAGCAGTGGAATTTAAATTGTGGATGTCTTGGCAATACCAGTACGGAAGATTGCGAGTAATTCTTCATATGTAACAGACCAGCCGTACTTGAATTTGAAGGTTTTGTTTCGGATTTTGTGTAAAGCAGCTTCTCAGCCATGGAGCTGTGTTGGGATTTGTGAGTTTGTTTATGTGGTATATCGGGAAGGTAACCAGGGCAGGGGTTTTTGGGATGGTCTTTCTCAACTCTGGTAGCTGACAACAGCAACCTGTTTCTGAGAAAGTCTCTGGAGTTCTTCCCTGATAGCCTTGATGAGAAAGGCAGAGGATTGGGGGGGTGGAGAACGCTCCTCAGGGGCGATGTACCCCGCGCTCGAGGCTTCCAGGTGACCCTGGGGTGTTGTGGGATCCTGCAGGGACGTCCTGGGCATCTGGAATACTGGTGATGAAGAGTACTCTGGGAATGTCAGTATCTGTGAGAAACAGAGAGGGAGAGAGAAATAATGAATAAATACCAACAACTCAGGAAAAAAACAAAAAAACAAAGATTATGTTTGAACAAACTTAAAGTAAATTATATATAAAAAGCTAGAAATTTTACATATTATATGAAATAATTAAATAAAAACAATGTAATAAATAAAATAAATAACAAAATAAAATGTACACTAAATTTACATTTTAAATAAAAATTAAAAAATGTAATTAAATAATTTTAAATTCATTAAATTTAAATATATTCTGTGAGAATCAGAGAGGGAGATAAAAAAAAGAATGAATAAAATGTCAACAATTCAGGAAAAAAATAAACATACTTAAACACAAACTAAAATTGAATTAAACTAAATATACATTATATATAGATAGATTTAAAATATAGATTTAGATAAATATATATAAAATGTATA